GTGTCTGGGAGAGTCTCCTCTTACTGACTCCTGTAAGATCTGCAGGAGTTTTAAGCCTCGAACAAAGCTCCCCGTTTCCCATTGTTCCCAGGGTCCTGGCCAGAACCAAGCAGTTCAGGACCCAAGTCATCCTGATAGCCCCAGACTGGCCCAGGCAGTTCTGGTATCCAATCCTGATGGAAATGGTGCGGGACAAACCGCGACCTCTCTTACCCAGTCCGGACCTGGTCATTCAAGCCTGGGAGGGAGGTCTCCTATACCACCCAAACGTCAGCTCCCTCCACCTCACAGCCTGGCTTATCCATGGTTTACAGAGCCAGAGCTTGCTTGTTCTGAGGGAGTACAGATGGTACTGCTCGGGAGCAGAAAGACAGCTACCAGATCGTCCTATGCAGTCAAATGGAAAAGGTTTTCCCTGTGGGCAGAGAGTAAAAGGCTAGACCCCTCTTCTGCCCCAGTCCCGATTATCCTAGACTGCCTCTTTGAGCTGCGTCAAACAGGCCTATCTACCTCATCCATCAGGGTTCACTTGGCGGCCATGTCAGCCTTTCGTTTGGGGTTTAGCGGCAGATCCCTTTTTATGAATCAGGTGGTTAAGAGGTTCCTTACGGGACTGGACAGGTTGTTTCCACACATGAGGGCACCGGTGCCTCAGTGGGACCTGTCATTTAAGGTGACCTATGTACCTGTCATTTAAGGTGACCTTCATAGTAGCAATCACTTCAGCGCGGAGGATCTCCGAGCTCTGGGCTTTGACTGTAGAACCGCCCTATCTAGCATTCTCAGCGGATAGGGCTAGGTTATGCCCACACCCGACCTTCCTCCCTAAGGTAGTCTCCTCGTTTCACATGTCTCAGGACATTTACTTACTTGTATTCTTTCCAAAACCCCACCGCTCCCCTAAGGAGCAGGCCTTACATTCACTTGACGCAAAGAGGGCGTTAGCTTTTTACATAGACAGAACGAGACACTTCCGTAAATCATCTCTGTTGTTTATTTCTTTTGCGGAAAGAATGAAGGGGTTGCCAGGATCGGCCCAAAGGCTGTCCTCTTGGTTCTCCATGTGTATCCAGGAGTGTTATAGTCTGGCACATAGGGAGCTGCCCCATGTTAAGGCCCACTCACTAGAGCTCAGGTGTCCTCAGCAGCTTTTGTGGCACAAGTTTCAATAGTTGACATTTGTAGAGTGGCCACGTAGTCCTCTGTACACATGTTTATGGCGCACTATGCTATTACCCAGCAGGCCAGGCTCTGGGTTCCGCAGTTCTCAGTTCAGTTCTGTAAACCTGAAAAAAAAATGATATAGTGATAATATAAATACCTCAGATGAGTTGTTTTTCTGATGTTGAATAAATTTCTGGTTGGTTTGGTTATAGCCATTGAGTTGTATCTTCGTTAGCAGTGTATCTCTGACCCCGCCTCCCTATGGTTTCAGCTCGGGAGTCACATCATTTGAATGCACATGAACAATCACTCGAAGAAAAGACGGTGACTTACCTGTAACTGTTGTTCTTCGAGATGTGTTGCTCATGTCCATTCGATTCCCCCCCCTACCTCCCCTTCGTCGGAGTCTCCGGCAAGAAGGAACTGAGGAGGGGGAGGGCCGGCTGGGGTACTTATGCTCCACTATAGTGGCACCAATCCAGGGGGCAACCTGCTGGCCCAATGGGTACCGCTGGGGGAAAATGCTCCGGAAATCGTGCACGCGGCACGCGCACACCTCATTCGAATGGACATGAGCAATACATCTCAAAGAACAACAGTTACAGGTAAGGAACCTTCTTTTCCTTTCCAGCGCTGCCACTGACTTGCTGTTGGGTAAGTCTGGGCTAGACACTTAGGGCCAGTTTTCACACACAGGGGGATAGTAACAGTTCTTTTCCCATCTCTTGTCTCTTTAGAGTAGACTGGCAGATCTTTGGGGCAGGGATTGTCTCCCCCTATAGGCCTGTGCAGCACCCAGCATAGTAAAGCCCCAATTGCAGTTGGGTCTTCTAGGTGTTACTGTAATACAAATGTGTAAGTGTCTGTAAGAATAAACAGGCCCTTGTCTGGTGCTTTTCATCGGTAGCTCTCAAAGCACCCTGCACACTTGGCCCCAAGCATTAGGTGATCATGAAGTGACTTGCCCAAGGTCATAGAGCTAATCAGTAACAGAGCTGGGGTTAGAATCCTGGAGCCCAGACTCTACTTTCTCTGCAGTGCTCCCTGCTGCTCAATGACCTGACTCTGAGCAAGGGTGAGTACCTGCAACCCCCCCCCCTCCCCACCTGATTGCAGTGGAAATGCTCAGGATTGGACCCAGTGTTCCCTGTAAGTTGAGCATGTGGATTGCTCCCCAGGTGAGATTCAAATGTTGCCCAGCTGATCAGCAGAGCGCCCACAGCCAACAGCATGTGTTTGTATTGCTGGTGCACATCTGTACATGCCTTGGTGCATATAACAAAATTTATTCTGCACTTGGATGGGGAAGAAAAAAGTAGCAGGAACACTGATTGAGCCAGTAGTCTGCAAATGAGCATGGCTCCTGCAGTAGCCCATGTGTGAGTGCAGAAACAGGCCGCTTTCACCAGTCTCGAGCAATGGAAGAATTCCTCCACTGCGCATCTCTCTCCAGGTATTGATAAAGCGCCTTGGAATCTTAGGTGTGGATTTACTGTCTCTCCAAGCCATGCATGGCTGTCTGGAGTTGCCTTGTAGGCAATATCGGAACAAGTTAATGTGTGTAATTTTAAACTTAGTGAGCAACCCTGGCCGGAATGATTAATGCTCTGCAGCTGCCAGAAAATGAAAAGTGGATCAAATTGAATTGGCTGGGGGCATACTGAATGAGCCATCAATACAAAGGGGAGAAGCTGTGAGCCAGTGCACTCTGCCCTGACTTGTGGCCACGTGAGTGTATGTATGTGAGAACCGGCCGAGCACATTATATTGTTCTCTGCAAGCAAGAGAGTTGCATGCGTCAGTGTTTCATTGCTAACAAGGGACAGGGTGGGAGAGTTTTATTTCATATCACGCTCAGGTGCAAACTGGCACACATAAGAGCAAGTGTGGGTCCCACGCCTGCTTTGATCACCAGTCTGCTGCCGCCAACATGTATTGTTTGGGGTCTGTGGGTTGTTCCCTTGATGCTGTCACTCTCAGGAAATGAGCTGTGAGCTGCCTAAATTTGGTCTGTCAGAAACAGGGCTGGGAGCTTTGAAGCCATCACCTTGAACTGTATCTGCAGCATCTCCCCTGGCCAGCCTGCTGAGTTATTTCTAGCTACATTTGGGTTCTCAGTAGCTGTTTACAAGCAGAACAACATGCAGGGAGACATTCCCAGCTGCCTTACCTTTCCACTATCAACAGCATGTTGCAGGGGAGTAAGAGTCCAGCTTCCAGATGCCTCTGGTTGCTCCTTTTACTTGGCTGAATTTAAAATTTGCAGGGGAAAGTTTGAATGGGCAGCAGATCCCCAGCACTCCTTGGTCAGCTCCCCCCATCTGTGCTCCTGTTCCCGTAGCTATCTGTCTCCAGCACCCCTTTGGTTTGTTCTAGGCCACAGAAGCCAGAAAACGAAACTGACCAGTCCTTCTTCATCATCCAAGCAGAGTGCAATACTAAAAGAACTGGCACAAAGCTGTAGGAGGTAGCTTAGCGGTGTGACTGTCAGGCTCAACATAGGGTGGGTCCAGTCCAGCAGCCGTGACTCCACCCTTCCATCCAAGGAGATTACGCTGCATTCCACTTGGTTTGCTGTGTGCGTAGAGGTTCATATTCAAACTCTGAGGTCACCCCTGCTCTGTGTGGGTGTTACAGAACCAGAGATGCTGTTGCCAGGACTCAGTTTGCTTCAGGACTTCAGCTGACAATTTCTCACCCTTCTATCGCTGTACCTCAGCTGCTGCCCCTGAAACCAGAGGTGGCTCCATTTTAATGCTGGAACATGTATACACATTGGCTACGTCTAGACTGGCATGACTTTCCGGAAATGCTTTTAACGGTAAAGTTTTCCGTTAAAAGCATTTTTGGAACAGAGCGTCTAGATTGGCACGGACGCTTTTCTGCAAAAGCACTTTTTGCGGAAAAGCGTCCATGCCAATCTAGACGCGCTTTTCCGCAAAAAAGCCCCAATCGCCATTTTTGTGATCAGGGCTTTTTTGCAGAAAACAAATCTGAGCTGTCTACACTGGCCCTTTTGCGCAAAAGTTTTGTGCAAAAGGACTTTTGCCCGAATGGGAGCAGCATAGTATTTCCGCAAGAACACTGACAATCTTACATGAGATCGTCAGTGCTTTTGCAGAAATTCAAGTGACCAGTGTAAACAGCTGGCAAGTTTTTCCAGAAAAGTGGCTGATTTTCCGGAAAAACTGGCCAGTCTAGACACAGCCATTTTGTAAAGTGGCCTGGGATCCTTCAAAGAATGCACTTGGATGGGACTTGAATATGCACCTATATCTACTCAGCTTCTGCTCTTTTTCTGATGGGGAGGAAGTCGAGTATGGGCCCACCTTCTTTGGGGCTCTGAAAACAGCTTCCCATACTTACTGCACTGATAAATGCCAAACCTTTGAGACATCACATTTCTGATTGTTAGCCAAATATCTGACACCTCTTGGGATAGAGAGTGGCTCATTTCAGTCTCTGGCCTGTGCTTTGGAGGGCTTAGCCCTGGAGACCTGGTGAATGAGGTCAATATTGGTGAATTAGGAATATATTTTTCCTGGGCCACATGGCACTTATTGGGCCCCTTTGTTGGTCAATTCCACCTGAAAAGCCAGCCTTTGGATGGGCCCTGGAGTCAGAACTCTGCCTTCTCTTTGTCTGGGTTGGGAGCGAGGGGGGCCTATGCGATACTAGGTCTGGGAGAAGCTGAAGCTTTGAATGTGGTTCTAAGTTCACTCCCACCCCCTTGTCAATTAGCAGGCAATATTGTTCCTGGCCAGATTGGCCCCTCTCCTCTTTTTCCAGCCTGTCTCAGGACTGATCACCTCCTTCCCTCCGTGTGTGTGTTTCAGAATTTCTGTCTGCGATGAAGACAAGTTCCGCCACAACGAGTTCATCGGGGAGACGAGGATCCCGCTGAAGAAACTAAAGCCCAACCAAACCAAAACCTTCAGCATCTGCCTGGAAAAGCAACTGCCGGTGAGTGGGGGCAGGTCTCTGGGACGGGTGACTGGGCAGAATCTAGCTTCGACTGATCAACTCTGCTTTCCAATGCTGCCTCAGACCCACTTCTTGGGTCTTTCCTCAGCTGCTCAGAGGGTGCTTTCAGGGCCCTTTCTCCAAACAGGTGTGGAGGATGCGCCCCCTCACCAACATGGCCATTATGAGTTCTGCCTCTAGGCGCTTGTGCTTGGCTGCATGCCAACAGCTCTGCTGATCTTCTGAGCTGCAAAGGGGCCAGCAGCAATTGTGCCTGGCTGGGGACACTCTCCTCTGCTCATGGCAATTAATGGGCTGAGAATGTCTAGATGGTCAACCAGAGGGGAAAGATGCAATGGCAGCACCAGGAGGAGAGAGATTCCAGTTGGCCTGTTCTTGAAGCATATCATGGTTCGGAGGAAAACTTGTGTAAGTGTGGAAATGAGCTAGCTAGCGTGTGCCATCACTGCCCGCTATTCAATAGAATCAGAATGGCTTAAGCATGTGCTATAGGCCTTGTACTGGTAATGGAGATTCTCCTTTAGCTCATGTGGCTGGAGTCTATGCTTTTGGAGCATGTGCATCTGAGAGGGTCAGTTCATGTACAGTCCTGTGTTGCATGGTTGTCAATGGAAGTGAGACTTGTTACAGTAGAATGGGATGTTTGCTTGTGGGTGGAACAAAAAGCTCATTGAATTATGTAGCCGTGTTAGCCTGGGGTAGTTGAAGCAAAATGCAGGACAATGTAGCACTTTAAAGACTAACAAGATGGTTTATTAGATGATGAGCTTTCGTGGGCCAGACCCACTTCCTCAGATCAAATAGTGGAAGAAAGTAGTCACAACCATATATACCAAAGGATACAATTTAAAAAAATGAACAAATATGAAAAGGACAAATCACATTGCAGAACAGAAGGGGGATGCGGGGGGGTGGGAAGGGGGAGGAAGGAAGGTAAGTGTCTGTGAATTGCTGATATTAAAGGTAGGGAGAGTGGGATGTTTGTGAGTTAATGGTATTACAGGTGATAATTGGGGAAACTGTCTTGGTAATGGGTGAGAAAGTTCAAAGACTTGTTAAGTCCTTGTTGGTAAGTGTCGAATTTTAACATGAATGACAGTTCAGAGGATTCCCTTTCAAGTGCAGATGTAAAAGGTCTTTGTAGCAGAATGCAGGTGGCTAAGTCATTTAGAGAGTGTCCTTTCTGGTTAAAGTGGCAAGAAACTGTTTTCTCTTTGTGATCTTGTCTGATATCTGTTTTGTGGGCATTAATCCTTTGGCGAAGTGTCTGAGATGTTTGTCCAATGTACATAGCAGACGGACACTTTCGGCACATGATAGCATAGATTATATTTCTGGATGTGCAGGAATATGTGTTCTTGATCTTATAACTTACTTGGTTAGGTCCAATAATGGTATCAGCAGAGTGAATATGTGGACAAAGCTGGCAACGGGGTTTGTTGCAAGGGAAGGTACCAGGGTTGGTATTAGTGTGGTATGTCCTGTGGTTGTTGGTAAGAATCATCTTGAGGTTAGGTGGTTGTCTATAGGAGACTATGGGTCTGTCTCCCAGAGCCTCTTGGAGTATGGTATCCTGTTCCAGTATAGGCTGTAGTTTATTGATAATGTGTTGGACAGGTTTAAGTTGGGGGTTGTAGGTGATGAATTGTGCTTGTTTCTCTTCCTCCAACCCTCTCCACCCGCAGATAGATAAAACAGAAGACAAGTCTCTGGAAGAGCGCGGCCGGATCCTCATTTCCCTTAAGTACAGCTCCCAGAAGCAAGGCCTGCTGGTCGGCATCATCCGCTGTGCACATTTGGCTGCCATGGATGCCAATGGCTACTCCGACCCCTACGTGAAAACGTAAGTAAGTGATTTGAAGGCAGAGGTGTTTAGGCAGAAGGGACAGGGCTTGCTTTGGGCTTTGTTTATGGGAGATTCTGACACACACATATCCCCTGCTCTCCATGCAGAGTTAGCATGGGGAGAAGGGAGCTTTGAACTAGCCTAATTGTAGGGCTGTGTGGTGGGAGCAGAAGATAACGCATCTCTGACTTGGTGCATGCCAGGAGGTCAGGCAGAATGGAGGGTAATAGACAGCCACCCCCAGCCTGCCTCGATAGCACACTGAGACTGCAAGTGTCACAGGGGCCAGAGGTGCCCAGTAATTAGCGATTCCCGAATTCTCAAGCCAGAAGGAGACATTACAGTCAGCTGGCCCGACCCCATGCCTAGTAGGGAGGTAAAAGTGGAACCGTTTAAATGGTTAACAGATAAGCATCAGCTTATCAGTTTCCATTGGGGTTACACACCAGCTCCCTGGGAGCGAGACCAGCAGGGCTGCCAGCCCCGCTCCCTTGGCTGTCACCCCGCGCTGCGGGCTCTGCAGTGTAAAAGTTATACCGCAGAGCCCGGAGCGCAGCCAGCTCCCTGGAAGCTCTTGGGCTCCCAGTGCGCAGCGGCTGCCAGCCCCAGTCAGCCGGCTGTGCTGCAGGCTCTGCAGTAGAAAGTATATGGAAGCTGTATTCTTCAGAGCCCTGTAACTATTAGGGTTTTTAGCAGTTACACAATTTTTAAATTTAATTTAATTTAATTTAAGCATGAGCTGGGCCAGTGAAAGGAGGAGAGGTGGCGAGGCCACTGCTGCTCATGTGGCCCAGATGATTTAGCTGGTGAATTGAAGGCAGGTGGATTCTTGGCAGCTGACAAAGGCCCTGATGTTAGCTTCTGTATCCTGACCAGGGCTTTGGAATAGCCCACTCCTCTCCCCTCCCCCAGAAAAGGCTTCCCACGTGTTACATGAGCCGGGCGCCTGCTAGGAGCTAGTGGCATTTGGGTGCCGAGTCTCTTTTAGTCAGATTTTTAGAGGAATTGAGGAGCCTAACTATGCTGCTAGGCACCGCGTGGGATTTTCAGTGAAATCACTGCTGCCTGGCTGTGCTATGAGACACGGGAGCAGCAGGGAACTAGCCACTTGAAAGAGAAGAAAAATAACAGCAACCTGCCATTGCCCCAGGTTCTGGTGAGCCAGAGCCCCTCCACCCCCATTTGAGTCCTAAAGCTACAGTAACAGATGGGGCAGGGCAGGTGTCCCATAAAGCAGGTGGCCACATGTGATTATAGTCAGCAGCATGGGGACAGTGATAAGGCAATTGCTTATGACATGAGCCAGTGACTTTCCTTGCAACCTAATGTGATGATTTAATTGTGCACAGTTAAGTCATTATGCAAGGCAATCAGGAAACAATATGCAGGGCTGGTTCCCCTGTCATGAGACAGGAAGATTTAACCCCTTGAGGGGAGGGGTCATAGAATCATAGAATAATAGGACTGGAAGGGACCTCAAGAGGTCATCGAGTCCAGCCCCCCGCCCTCATGGCAGGACCAAGCTCCACCTACACCATCCCTGACAGATGTCTATCTAACCTGTTCTTAAATATCTCCAGAGAGGGAGATTCCACCACCTCCCTTGGCAATTTATTCCAATATTTGACCACCCTGACAGTTAGGAATTTTTTCCTAATGTCCAATCTAAACCTCCCCTGCTGCACTTTAAGCCCATTACTCCTTGTCCTGTCCTCAGAAACCAAGAGGAACAAATTTCCTCCTTGTGACACCCTTTTAGATATTTGAAAACTGCTATCATGTCCCCCCTTAATCTTCTTTTTTCCAAACTAAACAAGCCCAGTTCATGAAGCCTGGCTTCATAGGTCATGTTCTCTAAACCTTTAATCATTCTCGTCGCTCTTCTCTGTACCCTTTCCAATTTCTCCACATCTTTCTTGAAATGTGGCGCCCAGAACTGGACACAGTACTCCAGCTGAGGCCTAACTAGTGCAGAGTAGAGCGGCAGAATGACTTCACGAGTTTTGCTTACAACACACCTGTTGATACAACCTAGAATCATATTTGCTTTTTTTGCAACAGCATCACACTGTTGACTCATATTCAACTTGTGGTCCACTATGTCCCCTAGATCCCTTTCCGCCATGCTCCTTCCTAGACAGTCGCTTCCCATCTTGTATGTATGGAACTGATTGTTCCTTCCTAAGTGGAGCACTTTGCATTTCTCTTTATTAAACCTCATCCTGTTTCCCTCTGACCATTTCTCTAACTTGCTCTGAATAGCCTAGAGGAGCCTGTCCCCACCCAGGCACTCTGCAGAGATCACCCATGCTGCTGAGCACTGGAGTGATTCAATGATATATGTGTGGTTAGATCAGGCAACTTGGCACTTGCTCTGGTCTGGAGGCCTCGAGGGATTGGATCAAGAGGACTGGGACTCAGAATTTCCTGGGTTCTGTTCCTAGCTCTGCCTTTGACTCACTTGTGTGGCCTGGAAAAACAAGGATGGCTTTGTTGTTCACCTCCCTCAGAGAGCAGCGTGGGGCGGAGCAATATAACGCTCTTTGAGATCCTTGGGCCAGGCGGAAGGGAAGAGGGACGCATTGCTGGTGAGGCCACAATCCTCATCTGCAAGAAGAAGAAGGAGTGTTCGTCTGTGCACCATTCACTGGGCTGAGCACCAAAGTGTCTAAAGCCTTAATGCACCTCCCAGTCTGTGTCCTGGCCGTCAGCCGCTAGTCTGCTGAGCCATTCCTGGGGGAACCTGGAGCACAGTATTTTGCATCCTAAGCACTGATGGGGTGGGGAACTTGGGGGGCGGTGAGGGGGATATGGGAATGTGGACATGAGGTGGGGCTGAAGAGGGTAGGGAGGCAGCGGATTCTCCTCATACAGGGTGAATGTGGAGGCCTGCTCACTGTAAAAGCACCAGAGACTGCCAGCTGCTGCATGAATGGGAGCTGTGAACAATTAGGAGGATGGTTAGCAGAACCGTTTGCATGGTGTCCCCTCTCCTCACTCCCAAACTGCAGGCTGTGTGATGCATTGTGCCAGGGAAAGGTCATGGAGGGCCTGACTTTGCGTTGCTCCAGACTGACGCCCTCATTAATGCCCTGCCGTGGAGTAATGAGTCGCAGCTTCCCCTTCATTTGTTCCTGTCCAGTTCCTGGGGTGAGTGGCAGGGGCCGGGAGTCTGATTGGGGAGCTATGTGAGACTGTCAGCAAAGCTGGGGGTAATTATCTCTCAGGGTCTGCCCCAGCACTGAGCCTATTTGGCTGGGAGACTTTGCCTATGGCGGCTGACAGCTAAGAACAGCTGTGGGGAGAGAGGGTTGTGTGTGTTTTTGGAGCCCCCTTGCTGCCATTTTCTGCCTCTCTTTCATTTCAGGGACCTCTGGCTGTTGAGAAGGGAGGGGAGAGTTTGGGGGAATCATTGAGATGTCGAATCTTGATTAGGACCCTAATTAATTCAGCAAACCTGATAGTTTGCATAATACAAGCTCATTTCCCTGTGCTGGGGAAACCTGGAAAGATTCAGCCCAAACTGTAAATCAGGCCAGTTCCCACCCTTACACAGATTTTAAAGCAAACACAGGACTATGCAGCAGGCTGATTTTGAGTTGGGGTTTAAGACCAGATCCTATGAAAGGGAGACAGCGGCGAATGGAGCCAGACACAGTGCAGCAAACTTATTCCCCGTACGTTTCTGAATGTTGTTCACTCCTAACCTGCAGCCCCCATGCTACTGCAGTTTTGGGCTCCCCTCACCTGCACCCCAGCTCTTCTGATGTCACTCAGTCCTCACCAGCAGGCCCCTGCTATTCCAGCTCTGGGCTATCCGCTGCACACATAACTTTGCTGATGTTCCTCAGTCATGACTCGCAGCCATCCCCGTAATCGCAACCCCAGGATCCCTGTCAAACACACACAGCTCTGCCAGA